CTCCTCACCCTGTGGGAGCTGGAGTGCCAGAAGAGTGAGGTGCCTAAGTTGGGGGCCACATCAGTGAACCTGTGTCTAGACTACATCCCTCTGTCAACAAAGGCACTATGAAAGCGCAAATGAAGCGGGGATTTAAATATCCTGCACTTTATTTACATAATCGCGTCATGGTGCTGTTTCAAAAAAGCACCATTTTGAAAGTAAAACCGTAGACCACTTCATTTAAATCCCTGCTTCATTTCCCTGAGGATTAGGGGTTTTGGGAGGAGTTTTTTTGCTTCTCACTTGTGTTCCGCAGCTAATTTTTCTGTGGGTCAGTGACCCCCAACCCAAAAATGGTTTCCCATCTCTGCCATAAATAAAGAAAACATTGAAACCTTTTGTGTTGGACATAATATTTTACTTTACTTAAATGAAGTTTGATAAACTAACTTGAGAAATCTGTGAATAATTTAAAGCGTTCTCCCTAGCTGCTCACTGGCAAATAGGGATGTGAACGACTAGTCACTTCCGCTCCCTCTCCCCCCTTCCCCCCTTGCTGCCTCTATCAGAAACAGGCTGGGGGGGAGCAGAAGAGGGAGTACTTGAAAGTGGCAGCACTGCGTGGAGCCTGGAGCTAGGCCCTGGGCTCCACATGGTGCTGCCACATTGAAACATCGCGTGCAGCCTAGGGCCAGTTGGGGTGTCACCAGATTACATGCAGCATTTCAAAGTGGCAGCACCATGTGGAACCCGGGATCAGCTGGGGACTCCCCTGCTGACACGGGACTCTGTGTGGCACACCTGCTTTGAATTGCCATGGGGATCCCAGTGTAAGACTCCATGCAACATTTCAAAGCAGAAGAGCCTATCAGATAGAGGCAGAAAAAGGAGGAAGAAGAGGGAGTACTTCAAAGTGGCAGCGCTGCATGGAGCCCGTACCCTGGGCTCCATGCAGTGCTGCCCCTTTGAAACACCGCTGCAGGATTTCCAAGTGGCAGTGCTGCGTGGATCCTGGGGTCAGCTGGGGAGTCTCCAGCTGATCCAGCATTCCGGGCAAATACCACATGCAGCCCAGGGTCAGCTGGGGACTCCTCAGCTGACCCCAACTCTGTGTGGCATTTCAAAGCGGTAGCACCACATGGAGCCCAGAGTCAGCGGGGGATTCTGAGTAGGGGCTCTTGTACGTTTCAAGAGAGGAATGCCTATCAACTAATTGAGTAGTGGGTGGAAATTCCATCGACTACTCAACTAGTAAATTAATCGTTATTTAACATCCTTAGAGCACATTTGTAGTTTAGCAACCTTGGTAGTGTAGCAACTATCGACTAATCGAATAGACGATGGAAATTGAATCAACTATTCAGTTAGTCAGTTATTTGAAATTTAACATCCTTACTAGCAAAATGGCTCAGGTATAGTTATATAAGTAACAGTGAGTTTCCATTAGCAATTGGTAGTCCACAGAAAGGTTTGCATTGAGCCAGGTGGTCCATGGGGCACGCTGTAGAGAGAACTCCTCCCTCTCCTCACGGGAGAATGGCATGGCCCAGAGTAGGAGGGTTAAATCTTGGCACGCCACTGTGGAAAGGTTGCTGACTCCTGGTATACACGGTTAACCTTCATGGTTACTCGCAGGCTCCCAATATGCACATACCAGCTTCTTGGGAAACCTTGCGTCCCTTTCCTTGTGCTGCTGCCTCTGTATCAGTAGCTGGTGTGCATGGGGAGCCAGCTTAAAAATTTTAGCAGTTACATGTTTACTTACTTAAACATATTTTAACATCCCTAGTGAAAATTGAAATGAAAAAAAAAAGCATTTAAAACTACAGCCAGTTCTGTATTTTCTATTATTGTCTTCTTCTGATTGAAGGAGTACCTTGGTCTTCCTCTTCCTTGTAATGTTTTCTTGTTACCTTTTATGTCCCTAGCTAGTTTAATCTCATTTTGTGCTAAGGATGTTAAAATGCCGTTAATTGATTAGTCGATAGGCACTTCTGCATTCCTCCTTTGAAATATACAGCTCTTGTACATTTCAAACGAGGAATGTGGAACTCCGCCTACAGCCTGGGGCCAGTGGGAAGTCCCACTGATTCCTGGCTGCATGCGGCGTGCCTGCTTTGAAATGCACAGCAGGGGCTCTCGTGCATTTCAAAGCCATGGAGCCCGGGATCAGCGGGGGACTCCTAGTCCCCCACCGACTCTGGGCTCCATGCTACACTGCATGCCACTAGGAGCCCCAGGGTAAACTGGGGACTCCCCAGCTGACCCCAGTTTTCCCGGCACTTCCCCAGAACCTGGGATCAGCTCCCCAGCTCCGGGGATCAGGTCCAGGGAAGTGCTTCAGGGAGCCCGGGATCAGCTGGGGAGTCCCCAGATGACCCCGGGTTCCATTGCCCCTTTGAAAGGCGGGGAAGCAGCAGTTTGAAAAGGGTAGTTTCAAAGGGGCAGCCACTGCACAGCTGATCCGCAGATCAGTTGAGCAGCGGCTGCCCCTTTGAAATGCTGCTGTGCAGCGCTGCCACTTTGAAGTACTCCTTCTTCCCCTCCCCCTTTGCTGTCTCTATCTCATAGAGGCAGCAAAGGGGATGGGGGGGATATCGACTAGTCAAAATAGTATTCGTATCGGATAGTTGACTAGTCTTTTACATCGTTATTTTGTGCTTGACCCTTCTAATGTGTTCCTATGCACAGGACCGTGCCGAACCGTGGCAAGCCCTGCTCGCCAGCCACTCTGTCCGGCGATCTGCGCATGCGCAGATCGCCCGAACCCAGCTCTTCCTTGGTTACAATCTACTCGCCACAGGCAAGTAGATTGTATTATTTGTCGAGCCCTGCCTATGCACGTATGTTGCTTTTAATATGTGGTCTGCTGTAATTCTATGATAGATCCAAAGAAATCCAATGAGGAAATAAATAACTTTCTTCAGAGCAGGGTTTGAATAATGTACAGTACATAAGCTTAGAGCTACGCGTTGAACTAGGAGATGAAAACAGAATATGGCTGCTCATCCTGAGCACTGGAGAAAAAGATCACTAGAGTATTCTTTTAATTTGCTAATGAAAACATGTTTATAATCTTGTTTGTAAAGACAGCTATTAAAAATAGGTGGGACAGATGGGCCAACATTTTCCATATTAGTTAAGTAGTTGGGTGAAGTTACAATTAACTGAAATCAGGGCCTTATAGTGGGATGTGTTGGACAACCTTAATAGGCTCTGCTTTTAGCCCTTCATTTAATAATTATATCTGATATTTATATGCCACCTTTATTTATACATTTCAGCCTTAGAGGTTCCATGCAGTCCCTTTTGGGATGGAGGAAAACAATAAATGGCATAAGATGTTCAGTCTGAAAATTTCCTATATATTGTGAATATTGCTTTGTTCAGATCCTGAATTATCCCTTACAACAGCATGAATTAATGCAGAGTTAAGACTGCCCAGTGGTATCTTGTACCCTTCCAAAACATCAAATTCAGCAGATCTCAAACTTTTGAAAACCAGGAAATGTTAAAATATACGTGTCCCCCGCCCCCCATACAGCAGGCTGGGGTGCTGGGAGGTGAGAGCTGGTGCATGCGGGAAGATGGCTTTTAAGCCAACTTCCCACATGTACCAACTCCCATGGAGCTG